CAGACGTGTGCTCTTCCGATCTAAAATAATTTTTACATTGTTTTTTTTTACAAAAAATCAAGTTTGAAGAAATAAGAAAAATTGTTCATATATAATTATATATGCATATTTTTAATCACTTATATATGATTATATATGAGCAATTTTTCTCATTCTTTTAAACTTGATTTTTTGTAAAAAAAAAACAATGTAAAAATTATTCTTTTAATTATTTTTTATGTTTCCTTCTTATTATTATCAATTTTGCATTAAAGAATAATTTTACAAAGGAAAGAAACATATATGGACATATTTTGCATATAATTATGCATAATTATGTGGAAATTTTTTCCCGGGTAATAACTTTCATTATGTCTGTAATATAATTTAAATGTATTATATACAACAATTGATTAATTTTAATTTGTTCTATATTATATTTTAACTTCTAATAATTTATATTACATATTTATACAGATCTATTTACCTCATTACTTATAAAGTTGACTAGTTGAGGTTGTTCAACAACTTGTTCCTGTGTCTTTTTAGCGATGGCATAAGTCAGTATACCGAGAGGAGGGATGTTTAAAGCGCGGAAAACGACTTCGTTTATCGCATTGCTCTTTCTTCCTGGAATTTTCTGAACTGTTTGAGGAATCGGCACTATCTGTGCGGTTGGATACACTCCTGTTTAATCCCACAAAAGTATGTTACATATCGTAAAACTTTATTTATTTAAAATTATTATAAACTAAACTAGAAATAATACGGACAATTAATATGTTCTAAACATATTTAATATGTTCTAAACATATTTAATATGTTCTAAACATATTTAATATGTTCTAAACATATATATATTTCTTTAATATAATAAATTTAATTAATGTAGAAATAGCATCAAAGACATCTATTACATACTTGATATATCTATTTTATGTGAAAAATTATTGCATATATATTTTGTAACTATGGTAAAAGGATTTTTAAATCTACATATTTATATTATTTTTTACTTTGATATTTTAGATATCAAATATATACATATATGTTTACATACCGTCAGTTAGTGATCGAACAACATAAGAATTTCCTTGAACAGGAACACGAACGTAAGTAGAAACAGGCCTACTTAGAGGATTGTATACCACAACCATAAACATGTCATTTTGCTCGGAAAACGAACATGAGCTAATGTTTAATTCCAAACATGTGAATATCTTAAAGGACGTCGCTGTACTATTTGCTATTCCTGACCACTTCCTGTTTCACAACAGTAAAAATTGTTGTGTCATTTTAAATTTTATAAAATAACATAGTAGGGAGCTATAATATATACTTATATATATGGTATTATATATTTGTCTATATAATTAACCATTTTTAATCATTAAACATTAAAATTAAAGTAATTTAGTAGAGAATACATACTCTATGGCTTTCGAGATTATTTCTTCGGCGTGATCCATACTCTCAGACAATATACGAGAATAATCGTCCGCGACTAATTGTTTTTCGGTGCCGGTAACGGCATCGTGATGCTGCATCACTCCCATTGCTTCGCGGAAATGTTCCAATGGCTTGTCATATTTCTTTAAGTTCGTCAGGGCAACAAGTTGTTTGCTTGCCTAGAAACAAGCAGTTATATTTGTTATATCTTGAAAATATCGCTTACTTTAATTAGAATAAAGTTTGAATAGTGATTTAAATTATCTTTTTCTTACTTGCAACAGGTTGTTTCCTTCGCGCTCTAAGTATTTCACGGTTGGTCTCGACGAGAAATAACCAGTCCAGAAAGAGTGAGGATCGCTGGCATATGGGAAGAAGTCATCGCTCTTGGTAGGCCATTGGAGATTCAAATCATTCAGGGCTTTCAAGTAGCACGAGGGTGTTGAATAAATTACATTTACCATAGAACCATTGCGTTTATTTGTGTATCTAAAAAGATTATAAAAGAAATTTTAATAACAAATATAAAATATGTTAATATTTTATTAATAAAGTTTGTTAACAATTGGAATTTAGACTAAATTATTTTGTGGATTATCAAAAATTTATTATAAATATTATGTAATAAATAAAACTACAATTTAGATAATAATATTAAAATATGCATAAACTTATTTTTAATTCTTATAAGTTTTGTTAAACTTTTAATATTATGAGGTTTGTATAATGCTATCTAAAAGTTGGTTTAAAAATCATTAAAAAATTAATCATATCTTGTTCCATGTGTTAAAATTTAATTTTTTATATTAATTATATCATTGTATTTATGTTAAAAACACTCATTTGCTAAAAGTTGACATTAAATATCTTATTGAAGCTTTATAAAGAAAAGTTCATCTAAAAGTGAACGAAAAGGTTTTTCTCACCAGTTATGCATCAACATTACTTATAATTATTTATATTTTTGTTAATTATAATTATTATTGTTTTTAATTAATTGCCGATGGCTTGTAATTTGTTATATTACATTAAAAATTAAAAAAAAATGACAAACATAAAATAATTATTTTTATCTGCTTATGTTCTTATATTTAATAAATTTTACTACAGTAGAATTCTGTTTATCCGCACTCTATTTATATGAATAAGTTTATAATCAACTGTAAATATACAAACTTGTATAGCTGAGCTTTTATTATTCATATTATTCAGATAATATAAGCTCGACATGCTCGACTTCAATTGGTTAAACATCAGCTTCTGTTATAGGAACTAATAATTATTAAGTATGTCAGCTTCTATTATCGAAACTAATAAGTGAGTTTCTATTATCTGAACCATTCATGCAGGTAATGGAATTGTTTTGTTTCTCGACATGTTCAGATAAGCGGAGTTCTCTAATACAAAAGAATGTTAATTTAATCTTTTGCACAAAAGTGCCTTTTATACTTTATTATGTTTTGATTTAATATTTTTTCTTTCTAATTCCTGAAATTCAAATTCCATAAAAACTAAGGTTTTTTAAATATCTATTGTAAACAATAATAATTTTTTTCTATTTTGTCTTATATTATAGATATTATAAATCTGTTTAATTCAAATCCCAAATAAAAAAACCGATTTAATCCAAGACCCAAATAACATTTAAGGACAGTAGTGACATAAAATTCAAAAAGCCAAATATAACAAACGATTTCTTAGAGTTAGTAACAATTTACCTGATCAGCTTGTCTAAGTTACCGAATACCATCTCAGCTTGTTGATAGTGGAAATCCTCTCCCATGGTGAGAATAATGTGATTAGTTTTGTAGGCACGTGCTTGAATCTGCGCGTACGCCAGGAATAGCTCCACCTGCCAATCGCGCAAAATTTTTACTTACCGTGATATGAAGACGGCATTTCATCGTTCGCAATGACGTAAAAACTTCTCTTTCATCCCTTTCTGCCTATCAGCGATGTCGATTTTTTTGCAAAGCAACAATATTACTTTCTTTTTTTACGAGCTTATAAGCGTCGGACATATTTCGAGAAACATGAATTATAAAATTTAAACTTTCGGCATTAATTATACCTTATCAGCTTGTCCAGATTCATGAAGTACATTTCCGCGTGCTGATAAGTGAAATCTCCTCCCATCGTCAATATGATATGATTTGTGCGGTAATAATTAGCTTGCGTAACCGCGTATCTCAGAAAATCATCGATCTGGCACAGAAACATATCCCGTAGATTATGATTTCCGTACAAAACAAATATGTCCTAAACTGTTTAAGCAATTTGACTATTGATTAATAATTACGAGTCTTTAATCTTATTTTATTGCGTTTTAGCAACAAAAAATATGTATTTAATTAAGCATATTATTTTTAACAAAAAATTTCACCAAACCAAAACATTTTTTAATAAACTTTTGCACAGATGTTGTGGATAAATTCGAAAATTCACAGTCATCGCTATTAAAAATCGCTATCAGTTTACTCTATACCAAAAAAAGATTTTGAGAATTAATATCACTCCTCTCAGATACAGAAAAGAATTTCTTCTTTTATAGATAAATAAAGTTTTCCTTTATAGTTTTTTTATCGTTTAAGTTTTATTGTTAAAATCAAAATGTCCAAGAGATAGAGGTTTTCTATTAATATTTGTATTTTTTTTTCATAAAAAAGTTTAATATTTTATTAATATTAATAATTAGAAATAAATTAATTGGTACAAAGCATTGCATAAGCCCTATTTGCTAATTAACACTTGAGACAATCTCGTTAATTTATCATTAGTTTATCGTTAAGAAGTTCTAACGTCGGCCTCTAACTACTACATTTGCGATGTTATTATATTACGTACCTTTCTGTCAATGTTGTAGTCTGGGCTATCGGGATCATCAATCATTGGTTCGTCAGCGCATAAAACGTCGAAGCAAAATCCTGGTGGTGGACTGTAATTGTTGAACATCGCGGTCGTGAACAAATTCGCTCGTTTGCCTGGAAACAGTATTGTATGACGCATAATTTCATTTATTGTGCAATATTCAACCGCTAGTTTTTATGTTAACTATTATAACAATTATTGATAATTAAATTTATCAAATTTACACTAATTACGCTCAAAAAGACTTTATAATTCCGTTGAGAAAATTCAATTCTAAATTATTAGAAAAATTGTTACAAATATAGTACTAGATATATTGTAATATATATATTAACATATATATATATATATATATATATATATAAATTTTTTTCTCTTGTATAATTATTAGTCTTTACCATTACCATAGATATTTTCTTACCTAAACTTGGACTGCTCTTCCAAATAAATTCCATCGTTTGATTATTCAATCTCGTACTTTTATCCTGATAATCGATACGACCAAACAGCATTCCGTCAAATCCCATCTGCGCAAACAGAGAAGCCTGTTCTCTGGAATGACCAAAGGGATCTATTTGCCATCCAATGTGCGGTCTGGCACAGCTTCCGAATGTATCGTTGAGCCGCCTAAATTAACAATCAGCAACATTAGCACAGGTTCTAAAGAAGAACTTAAATATATTTAGAAGATAAAATACATTGCACATTTATTAAATTAAACAATAGAAATAAAATTGAAAATTACATAATGGATATTTAATATTTATGCTTTACATTATGTTTACATATTTAATATGCATAGATATAATTTATATTATTCATATCCGTAAAAGTAAATATAACATTTTAGTTGGAGATAATGTGCATAGATATTCTTTATAGATAATTTCAATCAAATATTTAAATTATATCTTGTATTTTATACATGTGCAAAATTATTAGATATAGACAAGTAAGAGAAAATTATTGATTTTAATTATACTCAATTTTTTGAGTATAATTTCTAGATACTTCTCATATCTATCATATGTAATTAAACACACATATACCTGAATCCCCATGTAAATTGATCTACTAATGAATGATAATGAGTACAAGCTTCGTCATTCATGCTCCATGCTCCTCCGATGAATTCCAATCGCCCTTCATTGACTAGCATTTTGACGTCATTGCGAACCTTATCATCTTGCCGTAACCACCATTTCCAGAAGAAAGCGGTTTCCACGTAAATAAATCTGCAGAATTAAATAATGTAAAATTTATGCAATGATATATTTTAAATAAGGTAAAATTTGTTGGCTGAAATTTTTGTAATATAATAAGTAAAATCAATAAAATTGTATTACAAACTATTAATATTAAACTTTTTAAAATAATAAGCGTAATATAATATTATCTGTATGTTATATATCTACTACTTATCTGTGATAATGTATTCTGAATGTGTTTATGCGATTCTTTATCGTATCAACGATCGTCAAAGTATTTGAGATAAGTACCTTCTACTTGGATCAGCTAACAGTGCTTTGATGACACTGTCAAGAATATACTGCACACCGGCCTTTTGTATTGTAGAGCGACCTCAACAAATAAAAAATTTTTATTGCAAATTTGTAAAAGATGAAATATGTATAAAAATGTAAATCTAATAATAAAATATCAAACAATAAAAAATAAATAAAATCTCTTTAATCTTATTTATTATTAATCTTTAACAGAAAAATAATAATAATAATATTATTTTATGAAACTTCTAAGAAGCTTCTGTGAAAGTTTCTAAACTTTGTATTAAAGATACGTGTGTATGTGTGTGTGTGTGTGTGTGTGTGCGCGCATGTGTGTGTGTGTATACATAATTACAAGTATTAATTAAAATATTATACCGTGTAAAATGCATTTTTTAAATATAAATTTTATAGTTTTATTAAATCTCGTCTCAAAGTACAAATAAAGATTATTTTCTTTGTCATTCATATTTTTATATTACTAGTTTTTATCATTTCCTTTGTGATAAGTTTTATCATTTACTTACTTCCAAAGTAATACTGATCCACAGTCTTCAACCAACCAACATCGTCGTGAGTATGTGAGACCATGTGAATGTTAAGTTTTTTCGGATCTATGGCATGGCACGCCTGAAATTAATAAATGCCAGATATATTCTATTTTTCTTGTATTTATTTAGAATTTTAAAATATGTATTTTATGAATTAAGTTAATTTACATTAAAAATGCAATTTTCGTCACTGAGAAATAGAGACATAGCATATGAATGGGAAATTGGCATGAATCTTTAAAAGCTAATTGCGAAGTGTATCCGCATTGTATTCTTAATTACTTCAATTAGCAATTAATTTACGTACCTCATAGCCACATTTCTTGGTGGCTGCTGCGTCTAACGTAGTTCGTGGTATGCGTGCCGCATCGCCGGAGACTAAAAATTCCACGAACGCCAGTGACAGAAGAAGAAACAGAAATTCGTATCGCAACATAGCGAAGATCGTTGCTTCCTTCAACACGAAAGGAATGTAACTAATGAGATAATTGGAGCTGCTACCCTATACTTATATCGTTGACAGACCTCGCGTCAGTGTGCCCAGTGTGATAGCTTGCCGCAGCAGATAAAAGACGATACAGCCCAATGATGGTCACGAGTGCAATGGCGTAAGAGACAAAAATGCTTTAATTTATAAAAATACTTTTCAAAGAAGATTAAAAATGGAGCCAAATGCACGCAACAGTTCAAAAATGCTATAAGTAATAAATGTAAGAACATTTTCTTATACAAAGATTTAAAAATATTCAGTACAATAACTTTAAGCAAAAATAATTATATTAACATGAAAAATATATATTACAATATTATTCAAATTAAATAACATTATTCAGTTATTTAAATTCAAAAATCCGTTATTTGTTTAATATCCGATTATTTGAATTAGTTTTATCATTTTATCATTCTATCAATGAATTCGTTTTATCGTTTACTTAAAGTAATATTGATCAGACTTCAACCAACCAATTTTTTTCTCTCTTATTTAAAAGAATATTTAATATTTATATTTTATATTTATTAAAACATTTTTGATTCTAATTTTCCATTATTTTTATTCATTTGTTTACAGAAATGGAAAAACATTTACTAAAAAAGCCAACATTATATTAACTGATTATAAATTGACATGAATAAAAATGTAAAATTATTATTCTCTTTACTTTATTAAAAATACGTTAAAATATAAATATTAGCATGATATTCAAATTGAAATATAATATTTATTTTATAAACTTTAAATAACTTACCAAGTTATAAAATATCAACTAAGCAACACAACTAAAAATAGCTCGCACATAGATCCAGTCTGTCTCGCCGCTGCTGCGTGTATACTGTGTGTGCTTGGTGCGAAACACGATCGTCTCTCGATCATTATTTCAAAGCAAGGAAAGACGTACTTTCTTGACCTGCGCGAAGTCATGTAAATATCGTGATATTTACGTTTTATTTAGCTATTTTTCCGACTTCTATGTATTATTGTTATGATCAGTAGTGCCGTATTAAAGCATGAACTAACAATAAGTATTATAGTCTGTAGCTCATGGTGGCAAAATTTTTAAAAATGGCAAATTTTATAAAGAACTTTTCTTTCAGTTGTGGAGTAATAAAAAATATTAAAAAATTAGAAAACATTGAAAAAATGTTTACAATTAAAAAGTTGAACTTGAGATATGTTTATATATTTAATCAAATTGTTTATAGTGTTGCGTAAAGTTGTCATCGAGGCGTTGATATCTATATTTTAAAGTATTTTGACAAATACGTTCACATATTTAATATAAAATTTATGTAATTTTTATGTAATTCTATTGTATTTTAAATTCTATTGTATTTTAAATGTAAAATAATTGAATATATAAATAGCTGTTATTAATTACATCAATAATATCGACATTTTTTGTTGATTATATCAATATATCTACATAACGAAAATGTTGATTAATATATCTTTCAAGTTGTAAAAAGATTTTCTTTTATTAAAAAATATAGCTTATCTAGAATTAATAAAATTAACTTGTTGATATCTTGTTCATGTTTGAAAATGTATTGTTATCAAAAGATTAATCACGTTTATTATTACCAGAAGCTTATCACATTCAAGCTTTATTGTCTAATCTTAAAAGAATTGACACCATTATTATAAAATCATTTTGTAATTATCATGTAGGTTGTAGGTCAAAAGGATACTTTCTGAAAAAATAAAATTTTGTAAACGCTATATATGTATGTGTATATATATACATATATTGTACATATATACATATATTATTTATAAATTATATTTTGTCTTTGCATGAAAGTCAGCAAAATTAATTTTTGTCTTATATCATTAAGAAAAAATTTAAATCTTACTTTTATATTAAATAATATTATATTGAACCGTAATTTATTAATGTTGACAAATTTTATACAATTACAGCTACTCTATATTTTGAATAGCAATGTTATAGATATTGGTAATATAAAATTTAAAGTCATCGTAATGAAGTTACTTTGATGAAGTTGTGTGTATTGCAAGATTAATAAAGATTGATTTCGGAATATCTCAATTGTATCAAATATCTCTGTATAATTATTGTTTATAATGTTACTGCGTATTTATTATCAAGAATATCAAGTGCTATATAAAGGCGCGGGGCATATAAAGTCCGAAGTGCGCTAAAGTAAGGTATGAATCTCAGAATGGAAAACAAATCATGATAAAAATTAGGAAAACAACATATTTTATTTGCATTACATATAATAAAGTAAAATGCAGTAATGTAACACTGTCAAAGCATAAACAACGTTAAATATCTCAGTAAGGGATAGAAGAGGTAGAGGTACACCAAAGCAAAACTTCAAACATGTCGCGCGTACAGCGCAGTCATATCGCGATACGTTTATTTATGGTGAAAATATTTGAGTGATTCAAAGACCATTAGTTTTAAATTATGGTGCCGGTGAAAATAAACGCAACAGTGCGGAAAACATATTCCAATAGTTCTCTCATCGATGCATCGGAAGAATTAATTTTACGATTGATATTTCAATACCTAGAAACAAAATTCGTTTAATGCAATTTTGTTTAAATTAGAATTCTTAGAGCTTTGTTTTAATTTTACTTTTTTAATTATTAATAATACCTAGATATATGTTAAAATATAAATGATATTAGGTAAAAAGGAGTTAATTCCATAAGTAACTTAGAAAAAATTATGTAGATCAAAGTTTCGAATTAAGAGTAAAATTTTTTTACATTGCAAATTATCAACTTACTTTTTTTAATTTTACGTCATTTATTTCTACATAATATATGCATACATACACGCATTGTCTCTATTTATATTTATTTATTTAAAAAAATAAGAATAAAAGAAAAAGAGAAAAGAAAGGAAGAAGAACAGAAATAAATTAAATATATCTGATGTGTGAATAAAACAAAATAATAAATTTCTTTTTATGACAAAAAATAAATTTGTAATATACTTACCGATATATAAAAGAGTTATAATTAAAAAATTTATCATAGTATGCCTAGAAATCAGAGTACATAATCTCTTGCGGTTTTTCAAATTTAATAGGCCGATAGAATGTGAACGACTGATTCCATCCACGCGGCGCAGTATTGTAATTTGTCAGATTGTGAAGGTTGGCTAATTTCGGTCCAGTACAATTGTCATTTTCGTACAGTTTGTTTCCTGGAAATTGAAACATCAAATATGAATCTGCGAATATAAATATCATGGAGAAATCATTAAATATTATTAATTGAAATATGACTTGAATAAATTTAATTTTTAATACAATGAGAACTGTAAAATATGTATATCTTATGCCAATTGCAGTTTTGTTATGAATAAATATAAATATCATATTTGATAACAAAAATAGCAAAATCAATTTAAATCAATTTAAATTGTTGATTATGATAAAAAATCTGAGTATTAAAGAATCTCATTAAGAGATCATATTTAAATTATTTAAAGTTGAAATTTTAAAAGAAATATATTTCTTATAGAAAAAGATTGCAGAACAATTTATTTTTGTATTTTTGTACCTTTTTTTGTCTTTATATAATACACAAGAATAATTTCATATTTTGCACATAATTCAATAGTGTTAATTAATTTTCATTAATCTATTTGTTATCTAGCACTACGTATAAGGATTAGGAACAATATGCATTAAAGATATATTGTTTTGTATGTTTAGTATGCGAAAGCAATATTGAGACTACAAAAGCGCATGCATATTAACTTGCCTAATTCTGAGTTAACATCAATGAGTTTGCATTCTGGCGTGGTGGTGCCTAAGAGATTATCCAAGACTGGCGTGTTACGCAGATGTTTCTTGGTCTCGAGTATATCCTCCTGTGAGGCGACCATCGAGAGCACCAGCGACTTCGCTTCGGGAGGCATCTCAGCCTCGGTATTGACGAATCTCGTGGCCGCGCCGTTGGCATAAAGGGCCTCCAATTCCTGTGAGGTGGTCGAATGACGTCTAGTACTCGTGTACTCGTCGTCGAATGCGACCGAGTACTCGCTGCTGTCGCAGCAGTTCAACAGGGCGGACGGCGCGGAATTGCCGCGATCTATAGATCCCAGGTCGTTCTGATAATCTTCAGAGTCCGTGTCATCCGTCGTATATTCGCTCTCGTCAGTGGAAACGTAGCCGTTAATGCATCGGGACTGCAGTTTCGCTGGTCCATCGTAGCTCTCACGTGCATTGCATAATTGACCATTGCATTGGGACTGTATTGGTAGTTTCCTTTCGTAGCTTCCACATGTGCCGTACAATCGGTCGTTGTATTGGGATTGCAGTTTCGTGGATCTTTCATAGTTTCCGTGTGCACTAATATTATATAATTGATCAAAAAATAGATTCTCTATTTGACTTCATTTAACTTTGCTCTCCTTTAGAGAGATATATATTATGCGTGTGACTGCAATTAGCTGCGAAAGTATCGTACTTATATAAATGAGAAATAAATGTAAAATTCGTTAAACTTCGTTGAACTATATGGTACGTATACGTACCATTATAAATGACAATATTATGAATGACATCTTGTATCTATTACATTTGCAATTAAAATAGCAGATTAAAATATGCTAAATATTACTAAAAGAATACGATAGCGCGACATCAAATGAACAACTTAAATTTCATCAGAGAGAATAATTCGATCAACTAAAGAGACAGAACATTATCATTAAGAAACATTAAAGTAAAATATCAGGAAGCGTTTTTGTTATATTATTATACTCGAAAAATCCACGAGTCCTCACCGTGCATATCCTTGCTCTTCGTTGTTATACTTGACAGGATTTTTCGTCTCGAAGAAACGTGCTATGCCATTATCCAACGGACATTGCTGTACGATTGGAATGATCTTTGGACTGATCTGCTTGTATTGCAGAACTGGTCTACAGGTTTTCTCGAATTCTTGTATCAGCTGCTTCACTGGCACAGGAGTGTATCCGTTTTCCTCATTGTCATTCTGCGTCTGTCTGTCGCTTTGTTGCTTATTCCCGATCTTATTGTCAATTACGTTATCGTTGCACTTATTATCGAAACGCTGTTGAATTCTTGTGCCTCTGCCATTGTAACTCCGCGCATCGCAAACGTCGGATTTTCTCGATGGCTGATAATTATTGTTGTTAATATATCTATTATTGTTACTTGCGACATACTCGCGATTATTGGCCATGTTAGTGCGCCGATTGTTAGTAGATTCGAAAACGATACGACGGGATTTTTCGACGATGGGCGATCGACAATGATCAGGAGGAAAATCGGAATCTGTGCCCACCGCAATTTCCCGTAGATAAATTTTTTTTATCTCGTTCGAATGGCCGCATCGGTTAGCATTACACTGCCTGTCTGTAACTTGTAAATTAAAATTGATACAGCAAAGCATAGCAATCAACTGGAAAAAGCTTTGTTATAGGATTTAATACAGAAATGTCTTCTTGAGAACTTAAAGGAAACTATATACATATATACATACTTCAAAAGATTAAAAAAAAATTAATAAAAAATATATCAAGATAAAATTTAAAAATAAAATTTGCACTTTTAATTAAAATTATAATTAAATTACTTTATATTAAACATTAAAGTTCGAATCTAATTTGTGGAAAACGAAACCTCTTATACATGTATGAAAATAATTAATTTTACAATGTCGACTTATTTTTTTTATATAAAATTGCTCTCTTCTTACTAATATCATGTATTTCGTTTATATAATATAAATATATTGTATTTATAAGTGTATATATATAGTTTTGTAAAAAGAAATTTAAATATCTTTAATAAGAAAATCTAAATAATCTTAATATTTTGCTTAGCAATATAAATGCTTATAATGTGTCATTTTATCGTGAGATTAGACGTTTACCTTGAAATGGCACTTAATCTCTGTGTTGATCAGTCGTTATAAGAAATACGATCAGCATCGAAAGATACGAGTTTTTGTTTGTCTCAGATATATCGCAAAGGTGTCAAGCGCTTACGCTGATTAAATAACATCGATAAAGATTACCAATTAGAATGGCTGCGTTCAACAGACAAAACAGCTTAGTAAGCGTTCAGTGATTCCTTTTATGATTGGTTTCTTCATTTAGATCCAATAAAAAACTAAAGGCAAGAATCAATAATGTTAAAAAATCATTGAACACTTATTAAGCTGCTTCGTTTGCTAAACGTAGTCAAAGATCGTTCAACTCGGGCTTAAACTGTCCAACAATGATCTCTATCACGAAGGTGTGTCAAGTATTTCTAAATCTTAAAACACTTCCTTGTTGATACAAATTTTATAGAAAAAAAGAGAAAATTTTTCCAAAACTTTTCCTATTTTATTTATACAAAATTATATTATTTTTTCTTAATTCTTTTCTCTATTATAATTATTATTATAATAGTTAATATTATTACTGTAACAATTCTTATATATTATAGGTTACTTCATATTTTGCATTTTTATTTTGTATTATATTATATATTATGTTGATTAAAAAGATTGATTAACAAAATTAAAAAATTAAGAATTAAGTATAAAATTTAAAGATGTAAGTCGGGGTAAAGCGTTGTAAAAAAAAAACATTTAGATTTTTTAAAAAATGTCAGAAAAAGTGTAATTAAAAAATTCTAAATACATAATAAATAATTATGCAATGTCGAAAAATTTCTCATGTATTTTTGGCAGTGTATAAAATATATATAGTTTTTTTTGTGAAAAAAAAAATGTTGACGTTATATAAACATACATGATGTCAAGCGATATCATATAACGCTAATAAATTCCGACCTCGGTTTTCGAAAGACTTTGGTGACATTGATCCGCCCATAATTTTAAAACGTCTAGCAAAGAATAGAGAAAACAGGCCTCGCCGTTTGTGCCAACGAGGCTAAATCTGTCAGATGAGATCACCTTGCATTTGGGATTATTATTCTATTTCTCATTGTGTTTATATTATACGCACCTGATATTGGGACATTCGCGGTATCGAGAGAGATATCCACTGTAAAAGGATTATAAAATGGTTTGTCAATGCTCGAAACCGGCGTGCGAGGTGTCAGCGATGAAGGCGTCATGAACTTTGCATTACCGTTAATTTCCTAAAATCACAATTTCTTTTTAATCCTTTGTATTGCAAAACATTTTTTTATCATTTCTTTTCACTTTACTTATATTAAATAATAATAAAATTTATTCTTTTGTAGAAACATTATGAACTTCTTATAATCATAATAAAATTGTGTTTACTTTATTAAAAAACAAATAAATTTAAACAATAAATTATTTGATTTATTTATTTTAAACGTTTTAGTGAAATTAGAATTGTAAGAATTTAAATTTATAATATAGGAATAGGAAATGATTTATTTTATGGATAAATAAAGCTTAAATTAATTCCACGACAAGAAACTTTGCTACTTACTAGTTTTTCTGGATATATTGGCGTGTTCGGTGTGACAGGCGTATTGGGTGTCTGTGGCTGTTCTTGGGTAGGATCTACCACCCACTTTTCCGATCTTTTCCTACGTTTCGCAAATATCTCGGCACCTGTGAATTGTTTTGGCAACGCTCTGTCATATATGTATATTATGTATAATAGCAATAATTTTAGTTTTCAGTAGGAAATGTTACATTTCTCACAGCAAACAAGTTTTTCATCATGTATTATACTCACATAAAATATAACATTATCTAGTATATATGTAATCTTAAAGTATATAATTTTAATATTATAATTGGCTCAGTTGTCAGTTAAATGCATAGTACTTACCACGTCCTTTTTGAGTGTTTAAATCACGGACAATGTCAAAGAGCTTTTCAGGATTTTTCGGCGCAATATTGACTTCTTCACCTAATGCCTGAATACCATGAATGTCCAGCACCTTCCCGCACGGATTCATCACGCATTTCAGGGGTAGTTTTTCCTATTAGAAAAAATTTTACTTTACAGTAAACAGCGTAGATACATTACAAAAAAGTCAACAATTTACGTTATTGTGCATCCTTTACCTTATGAATCGTGGTCGATTCCTCTTCGTCCTCGACACCTGCAAAATATTATCGCTGTACGTTATGTAAAATGAAAATAAAAAGGTACAAGTATAGCAATTTAATGAAGCAAATGATTTTTGCACTGGGTTTCTTATAAAATATTATTTGCAGACGAATAAGTACAGATGAAGAAAAAGACGATAGACTTAGAAAATTTTTAACAAGTTATTTTATTTTAAAAATTATTTGTATACCATTTTTATTATCGATGAGTATAAAAAATATTTTTTTTCTCTAATTTTTACACTTATCCTTAATTAATTATAGCAACAACTTTTTACTAAACTATGTAGGTTATTGATAATTTGAATAATTTCGCGTAATATGAATATATACGAAATTCTTCAAATGAGAACACCACGGATTTTTACAGAACGCAGTTTTAATATAGAAATTAATTATAAGATAAATTTTTTAATGCATACCATTGCCGTCATGGATCCATTTAACAGATCTCTTTTTCCTATTCACATACATAGTCTGTCCTTTGCTCTTCACGTTTTTCACGTCGCTGAGTGAATGCGAAATCCGACGTGCAAGCTCGACCTGATCTTCGACCGTAGGATGCGTTGGTGCGTAAAAATATGAGGACGCAAACATTTTTTCTGAAAATAAATAGTTTTGGCATTGTTTTAATTTCACTAAATGTGCATTTTTTTTCGTTAAAATTCCTATGGTAATTAATTATATCAATGAAGGTATACATACTACTTTTTGATTGCAGTAGCTCCTGAGAGTCTGATGCTGGGGTGAGTAGCTTTTGCAAATTAATCGGGGTAGTCTCTCCTTCCTGCAATAAAGAAAGCAAACCTGTATTGATGAAATAAAGCCAGTGGAAGTACGTAATACAAAATTTTAGTTTTTCTTTTTGTTCTTAAATTTTCTTTTTCTTTAATTTGTTGTATTTTATTGTTTTTTATTAACTGATTTTATAACTGATAATCTTGAATTATAAATAATAATAAAACAATTTTAATAAGTTAAGGACTTAGAAATATTCTTCACTCCATTTTAAGTAAAATTTATCTTAAAAAAAAAATAAGTTTTTACTTTCTCAGTTACATAAATAAATATATTTAATCAAATTGATATGTCTTAAGAAAATAAGGATTTTAAATTTGTCTAATTTATAAATGAAAGGATTAGTCTAATTGTAAGAATGATTCTAGGATTCGTATACGAAAGACTTCGAAAGATATCAAATAATAACATAGGATCAAGCTTTAGGATGTGCTGAATTTAAAGTGCTTGTTTTTTTAGCAAAACTGCTCAAATTTTTGCAAATTAAAACTCACCATGTCGAAGTGTAATATTTTTGAAGTGAGATTCTCGAGAAAGTTCCTTTTAACCGGATCGTGTCTGTCGGATGGCTTGTAACCACGCGAACGTATTACAACATTGTCCGCCGATACGCTACGCTGTAGAAAATTTTTCTCTTGGGAGCCACTGTATTTCACGCTGTACTTGTATTCCGCATCCTTAGAGCATGTGAGCCCATACGAGGTGTTGCTCAGAACGTTGCGCTTGGCGTTAACGTGTCTGCGGACATTTGAAACGTTTGCAACGCGATGCGGATCCTCCATTTACGCAAACTCTACGAGATTTCGCGATGACCGTACAAAGAGAAACTTTTGTAATTTAATTCGTATATAGAAAATTGGCGATTTTTTTTAGGAAGATTATTTTAGATAAGAAAATATTACAAAATATAAAACTCTATTCTAAATAACGTTCTAAATTTTCTGTAAAAATTTAAATTATTTTAAAATAAAATTATTTATTAAATTTTTAATTTATATTAAAATGTCTTATTTCAAATGTATTGTAACTTTATAAATAATTCATTATAATTGTAAAATCTTAATCTCTTAAAAAGAAAGTAAAATTTATTACAAGTAAAACTTTATATTTTGTAATTGTGTTATATTTTGAAATAATATCTACAATACATATTTTTTTATTCAAAATATTATCTTCAACCCATGCGTTTCAAATATTCTAATCTAACAATTTTTTAAATTTTATGTGAAGAGAATTGTGCTCTTGTTAAATTTATAATGCAAATTTGTAAACATATATTAACGTTGTAAAAATGTTTAAAAGACATATACTTCTCGTCTAGACAAATAGAACTGAAAGGAAATGTTCAAAACGATTCAAATTAACAATCTTTCACTTAAATGCGGAAAATTTGGCAAGTGGATATTTCTCCAAATTATTCAAATCTGTGGATGCAATCTTAGAATTAATCATCCGAGCTTTCTCAATAATACATTAATGTTAGTCGATTATTGCCAACAGTACTTGGCAACGGCACTCGCAACCAACCTGAAAATTTGCGATATTGAAATTTGTAATCACGTGATCTTCTTTACGTAATCTTCTTTAAATTAAAATTTGTTAAAATAACGTCATTTTTAAGTAAAAAAATAAGGCATTAATTGTAATATGTAGCATCATTGTCAGTTAATTTAGATGACAATATCTTTCAACGCTTGTAAGACGCCAATCGTGAAAATTTTCTGATTTCAATGATATATTATATATCGTGAAGAAGATATTTCCACATTTTACAATTACAATCGTTATTTTTCTTTGTGAAAAGAGATCAATCGCCTATTCTAAACGAGATTTGAATCAGAAATCGTATAAGTTTGCGATCGTATAATTCGAATCTGAAATTAACTTCAATTCTTGGTCTTAAGTCTGCAAATGTTTTTCATTGTTTATTAGTGTTCTGATGCAAGTGACAGAAATATATGTATTTAGCGACGTAATGTATATACTTATGTTTATGTCATATGTTTGGGGAAACATCGTATTCATTCGACCTTGAATTTTCGATATCTGACCAATTGTACGGGAGATTATGCGAGGGAGAGAGAAATGTGAGGATTGCCCGGCCGGCGTGCCATTAGTGCTCGACAAAACTTTTTTGACTACGAGAATTGGTTACCTTCCAAGCAGCCAATTAATTCCGCGTCGCGGTATTGGCAGTGGTACAACGAGCTCTGTGTAAAAGAAACGCTAAATTTATCTGTTGTAACGTAATACGCAGTAACAGTTTGAGCAGTCGCCCTCGCCGCGCACGCGATCGGCCGTATCCATTTGGTGTTACCAAATGGTGTAGAGAGAATCTTAACGATAATACAACGTTATTTTCGATACATAAATAGCTGGTCTTGTTCCTTCGTTTGAATGCAAATTATTAAACTTTGTATAATTACGTTTAACAAATATTTATTTTTGCGATATGCATGTACAGGTGTACGTATTTTAATATTAAGTTATTGAAATTTATATCAATATTAAGAGATATGTGTATTTTATTTTGTTAATTTTGTGTTAGAAAAAGTAATATAGCGTGGTTCAATTCTAACAACGCAATCGATACTTCGCTTTAAATAGATTGTTTGGTAGAAGTTTAAGAGTTTCGTCGACCGAGCTGTTCGCGGCACTTGGTGGACTAAAATTTCGTGAAAGTTTTAACGGATCAAACTTCGAACATTGATAATTTAATTTCGTGGATAATAATTCGCGAGTGTTTAATCAAAAGAACAATTGGAAAAGAAGAACACGTAAGTTTTAAAGAAAATACATTGAAACTGATTATTACCTGGAATACTTAGAATTAAGAAATAAATTAAAAATTATTAATTGTTCTTTGAAATATAAGAATATTTTTACTTTTTCCAGCCACCGAACCGATAGCTATTGAATACAGATAGTTATTAAATTACTTTAATATTGAGTTTGTGAACACATAAATGGTTAGAATAATTCATAACTGTCAACTTCGATTATTACTCCATATTATTAATTTTTCAAAATACACGTTTTCTAAGTATAGTTATCTAAAAGTTTGCGATGACGCGTTTTCTCTCTTTCCCTCTCCTTTCTTCTTCTTTCGATATTTCACAACATATTGCCACTAAGATTTTCCTCTATAGTTATCGCGATTAGAGAACATGTCACGATTATTATTAATATAGCATTCATTAATCATGGAAAAATAGCCACATTGATAAACACAACTGACATTTCTTGTCACCACGCACACTCTCGGGGAAATCCTCTCGTGCAAACGATAACGATAATAAGTAAAAATAGAGAAGAAGAAAAAAAGAGAAAAGGGAAAACCATGACTGGGGTAACTCGCACACTCTCTCCCTCCCTCTTTCTCCTCTCCATTCTCTCCCAGGTGGACAGAGAAACATTGCGAACAGAGATTTTACTTATCAAACGATGCTCTCCTCATCGCGACGTGAACGCACACAGAAAGTAGGTCGTCTCCCTTCTTCGCCTACACTTTGTTTTCCTTCTTTACCCGCGATTTATTTTTCCCACGGCTTTACGTAATGCGCGACACCCCGGCCTACACACTTTGCCGGAGGTGGTCAGAGTCCGCCTAAACTCTCGACGACGGGGGCTCCCTCGCCGCGGTAAACGAATCTCGCATCTTGCAAAGCGCTCGCTGGCACGCACCAGCTACGTTCAGACACGAGAGGCAACGTACCAGAAGGAGTCACCGTCGCTGCTACCGCCGCCACCGCCGCTGCAACGCTCAGCAGCCAACGACTCATTGATAGAACAGAAATGAGAAAAAAAAGTAAACGGAGAGCGAGAGAGAAAGAGAGAGAGAGAGAAACTTATTTTTATATTGAGCAAACTGCCGTGCAAATCATCGTGGATTTCCACCGGATCGCGATTCCAGTAGTACGCAAAAAGATTTCTCTCGAAAGAAAGGTCATTGTACGGATGCGGTATCGGTTCGCATATCGATATCTATATCGCTTCGCCTACATACGTGAACGAGTATCTATATCTTCCGGAACGGAATCGACCGTACTGGTGAGAGAAGTGTCACTTCCGTGATGGCAGAAGCCTCTCTCGATGGCTCCTCTACGGCTCTACCACTGGTACTATCGAGAGAACTCGCCTCGTGGCCTTCTCTTCACCATGAAGATCCGTCCGAGATCGTCGGGCTTGATCAGCGGAGCCTGCACTTATATGCGATGAATTACAAACACGACCGGCACACGCGGTGCTTTATAATAGCGCCCAAACCGTCGCCTATACAGCGCCTGCTTGTCGACTGGCTTGGGACGCCTTTCGTTAAAAATAGACCATCAGAAAGCGACACCTCAAGATTCGAGCTGAGCCAACGACGGGTTGTCCGTTATGGTACGTCCGTACGGAATCGTGTACACAGCAAATGGTAGCTGTGCTTATTGCCACACGAACACCTGTGGGTCACCAAACTGCGAAGACATTTAAAATACTTTTACGGCTTACTTCGTCTTTCCCGCGTCGGGAACGAATTATTCCGTAATTATTATATATATTATAAAGATAATGACAAAGATTCACTGCAATGCATTTCGGAATATATAAACAAATTATATAGATATTGTTCATACATATTGGTTTATAATACACATAATCGTTAATTTCGATCTATATTCATCCCCAATTAATTGCTTGTATATTACACAATATACTTTTTCTCAATCATATTTTCTCTTAATAAATCTTCATCCTGGATATTATTGGTAATTTCTCGCTTTCTTGGATCTCCTTATCTGATTTAAGAGCTTTTCCATTTTCGTTTCAGATTCGTTTTAGATCCTTTTCATTCGCAACTCAAGTTCGATACCTTATTCACTTTTCTTCATATTTTCTTCATATTTTATTTATTTAATTCGTATTTCTTTACAGGTGCATTGAGCTCTTCTTCTTCATAAAAAGTTCAAGCTTCTGAAAAATTGAATGCGTGGAATAAAACTTAGTTATAACTGTTAGTTTTTATTTTATTTTTATATTTTATAAGGTCTGTCGTGTTTTTTAGTTTGCTTCTGCATTTTCATTTTAGTACACACAGTTTTAATGTATTTTCTATTGTTCTCATATTTTTAGAAGCTGTTTAAACTTCTTGTAAATAATTTGTCATATAGCATTTTTAGCTGTTTAAATCTCTTATAATTAATAATTTGTCATATAGCATTTCTTTAAAATCACTTTTAAATTACATTTTTTAATAGTTCAAGTTAATTTTTGTTCTTTTAAAAAAATCTATGTTACATAAACTATAAACTATATAATATTGTATTCAAAAAATATATTTTATGATTTTCATTTACATATTTCAATATTTTTAAGAGTCGATAAATAATCTCAATGGCACTATTTTTCAAATCATTCTCTGCTATAATTATTATTTCAATATTTTCAGTATATAAATAAGCAAATGAAATTTAGTTCTAATAATGTATTGAGTAAGACGAATTTTGTATGCTGAATATACTTTGTACATGTAGTCTAAAAGAAAAAAACTTTATTCAAGCAACACATTTATTTATTGAAATTGTCAAACAAAATAAATAAAAAAGAAAAATTTACTTTAGTTAAATCTGACAAATATGATTTTAAAATTCCTTATATTTTTCAAATCTTTAGATTTTTTTTGCTACAATTGTTTAATTCTTACTACACAATTTTCAGTCCAGCATTTTAAAGTATTTAAATGCACAAGACAAATCTATTATTCATATTATAACTGTATTACATTATTAAATATTAATATAATTTTACAAAATTAAAATAGAATTATTTAAAATTTAATGAATGGCTCTTAAAATATAAATTAAACCTCATTTATACCCTCTTCCATTCTTTCGTATATTCTCACCTATATTCTCTTCTATTTTGTATCTATTTTGTGATTACTGGATGATATACAACTCTATCTAAAGCTGTATGTTCTCTATATAATAGTCAATAATAATTACTGGTCTGCAAACAAAAAATTAATACACCATTACCATTTTGTTACTGATTCCACAATGAATAAATTATTAAAAATTTATCTATTTGTATTTCTTCTTATATTATTTTCAGCAATTGCATATAATAATTGTCTTTTTAGAATTAATATATTAAAATAAATTTGAAACCGTTTAACGTCCGTCTTCTGTCTATAAATCGCTATATGTATGTATATGCTAGTAGTAACCTATAAATTTAATAATATAATATTATTAAAAAATAAAACAAAAAATAGCTTAAAATATATTTATTAAAAATGTATATTACTAAATTCTTATTAGAAATATTTTATCTAGTGTTTATTAAAAGCTCATCATATTCTTTGTCTGACATTCTTATTTGATTCGATCTTGTATAAAAAAAATTTATTATTTTTAAAAAATATTTACAAGGTTTACAAACAATTTTTTGCTACTTTATTAGTAATTTTTTACAAAATCTAAATTATTAATATAATTATTATTAGTTGTTTACCGTTTTTACCATTTGTGTAAAAAATATGAAGATTGAAATATACAATTTAAAATACTAGCACTACAGACGCGCGCTTCGCGCACGCATTTAACTGC